GCCAAGGGTTTGGAGGAGCCTTGGAGAAGTCCCAGTCCATTGACTCCCTAGGTGTCCCTTACTGTGGGGTTTTAGGAAAAGCCGCAGAGGCCTGTTCTTGTCCTGTTTTTTGGTTAGCCTAATTCAGGGGTCAGGGACGTGGGTGGCACTGTGGGTTAAACCACAGAGCCTAGGGCTTGCCGATCAGAAGGTCAGCGGTTCGAATCCCTGCGACAGGGTGAGCTCCTGTTGCTTGGTCCCTGCTCCTGCCAACCTAGCAGTTCGAAAGCATGTCAAAGTGCAAGTAGATAAATAGGTACCGCTCCGGCGGGAAGGTAAATGGCATTTCTGTGTGCTGCTCTGGTTCACCAGAAGTGGCTTAGTCATGCTGGCCACATGACCCGGAAGCTGTACGCCGGCTCCCTTGGCCAATAAAGCGAGGTGAGCGCCGCAACCCCAGAGTTGGTCACGACTGGACCTAATAGTCAGCAGTCCCTTTACCTTTACCTTTAACTCTGGGGTCAGCAAACTTTTTCAACAGGGGGCCAGTCTACTGCCCCTCAGACCTTGTGGAGGGGTGGACTATATTTTTTTGGGGGGGGAAATAGAATTAATTCCTATGCCCCACAAATAACCCAGGGATGCATTTTAAATAAAAGCACATATTCTACTCATGTAAAAACACGCTGATTCCCGGATCGTGTGTGGCAGGATTTAGATGGCGATTGGGCTGGATCCAGTCCCTGGGCCTTAGTTTGCCTAGGTAAAGGTAAAGGTACCCCTGCCCGTACAGGCCAGTCTTGCCAGACTCTAGGGTTGTGCGCTCATCTCACTCTATAGGCCGGGAGCCAGCGCTGTCCGCAGACACTTCCGGGTCACCTGGCCAGCGTGACATCGCTGCTTTGGCGAGCCAGCGCAGCACACGGAACACCGTTTACCTTCCCGCTGGTAAGCGGTCCCTATTTATCTACTTGCACCCGAAGGTGCTTTCGAACTGCTAGGTTGGCAGGCGCTGGGACCGAACAACGAGAGCGCACCCCGCTGCGGGGATTCGAACCGCCGACCTTTCGATCGGCAAGTCCTAGGTGCTGAGGCTTTCACCCACAGCGCCACCCGCGTCCCAAAAGGGGTTTCACCATCCGGGCGCTCGGCCCAGCCCGAGGCCCCGCCGGCGGGGAGCCTCACGACCGCGGGGCACGGGGGGCTAAGGCGGAGCCCCCGCTTCCCCGGCCTCGTCCCCCGGCCTCGACGAGGCCGCTCGAGTCTTTGAACCGCCGCCCCGGAGGGCGCCGGGGTTTGCCTACCTATGACCAAACTGATGCTATTTTGCTTCTGTAAAAAAAACCTGCCTGCTTCAGAATTTAGGAGGGTGAGCCTCAAATATGTGAAGAACAGATAACATTGCTAGGTGATTTTCAGGAAAACCTCCCTCTGTCAGGCAACTCTCACCTTCAAAGTCTCCAGGTAGGGTGTCCTGTTTTGATCAGCGCAAGGAACCTCGAAGGGGGAAAGAGAGGGGTGATGAACAAAGTATGAACAAAGCCTATTGGGGGCTCGCCCGCTCTGTTTTACTCAGCTGAATAAACGAGTGAATATGGGAATCTCCTTTGTCTATGGTGTTTATTGGCTTTTCAGTGACCAAGGCAGTTTGGACCCGATTAGCGGACCCCACCATTACCACCAATCCTCGTGGCTGTTATCACCAGTGGAATATACTCGGAGTCGAGAGTGGATTCCATGCTCTTTATTCAGCTCAGAGTGGTGAGGAGGAATGAATGTTCCCTCAAAGTATCTGCTTTATATACATTATTTACACAATGGGCTGCATGTGATTGGCTAATTCCGGGATTCTCCTGTAGGCCAATCAGGTTGTGGATTCACTTCCATCTGGAGCTGGATTGGGTGGCTCCTGTGGACCAATCATACTGCTGCATTGTTCTAGGACCAATCAGACTGCTGCATTCTGAATCCTATTGTTCTAGGACCAATCAGACTGCTGCACTTTGGATCCTATTCAACTCAGTACATAACACCCAGCTTCTACTTTTCCTTCTCCTCCCCTACCTTGCCATTGCTTCCACCTGTTTGCTTGCCAGACAGAGAGTCAGCGAGCAAGCAGGTTGCGCTGTCGACTGCTTTCTCCACCTCGCTGCCACGGCCATCTGGATGAAAGCAAGAGGCAGGTGAAGACCAAGCAGGTTGTGATAGCGAAGAGGAGGAGCAGGTCCTTGGCAGATGCCCAGCCATGAATGTATTAACCTTTCAGAACTGGTTCCGCCATGTGTTTTGATAAGGCGAGCGGAATTTCACAAGGGGGTTGAGCAAAGCCCCATATTGGAGGGGTTGAAAGATAAGCCTCTGCCTGGAGTTGAGAATTTAGTGTTCGCTGACGGGAAAAACAGGCAGACATGCCTGGTTGGAAGATAAACAATAGGTATCAGCCATTGATCAGCAACTTGGGTGTCTCACAGTTTGGGATGGATGGATATTGATGTAGAAGACGGTGAGTGGAGACAGATCAATCCTACAGTGTTTTAGAGAGACCTTGCAGTTTCTAACGCCACCTCGACTGTTCATTGGAAACAGCATGCCTCTGAATGTTGCCAGCAGCTAGAAATTTCAAGCAGGGAGACCCAGCAGAGGAGGAAGGGGGTGTGGGCCGCCCTGGGTCTCATCCGGGGCGGGGGTGATAAAATGACAAAAAAGTGAATTTTTAAAAATATATTTTTTAAAAAAATTGGGCTCACGAAACTTTTTTGTTCGGTCAACAAATATAATGAAACACGGCTGTTGCTGAGCGCCACACTGCGGGGGCTGGCACATACCGCAGGGCCTGCAGCATGACCGAGCCATGTATCTCTCCTGGGAGTCGAAACAAAATAAATAAAATAAAATAAAAAATTCCTTCCAGTAGCACCTTAGAGACCAACTAAGTTAGTTACAGTCATGCCTCATGTTGCGCTTGCTTCTGGTTGAGCGTTTTCAGGTTGCGTCCCGCGGCGACCCGAAAGTACCAGAAAGGGTTACTTCCATGTTTCGCCGCTCGCGCATGCGTAGATGCTCAAGATGATGTCACGCGCATGCGCAGAAGCAGCAGATCGCGACCTGCAGAGACACAGGTTGAGTTCTGCTCATGTTGCGAACGGGGCTCTGGAACAGATCCCGTTCGCAACCAGAGATACCACTTTATTGGTATGAGCTTTTGTGCGCATGCAAGCTTCCTTGGGGAGAGCATTCCACAAAAAGGGAAGCACTGCAGAGAAGGTCCGTTCTCGTGTTGCCACCCTTCAGACCTCACGTGGACGAGGCAGACAAAGAAGGGCCTTAAAGGATGAATGCAAAGTCCAGGATGGTTTATAAGGGGAGAGTTTCCTAAAGAAAGCCCTGTGAAAACAATGCTTGAAGTAAATATTTCCCTTCACTCTGATAGTAAGGAAGGAGTTGGTGCTACAGAAAGTCCTCCCAAAGCTCATTAAACCAGATCTACGTTCCACTTTGACCATTGTTGTCCAAACCAGTGCTTCCCCAACTTTTTTGGGTCAACGACCCATTTGGTTCCAGACACTCACCCAGGCTATAAAAAAAATGTTGTTTGGAATAGTGGATTTCAAAAGCCACTAAGGAGGGTAATAACCCAATAGAATTAAAACAGTAAGAATTAACTGCACATTTTTTCAAAGTCCAATTACATTTACAGTCATACCTCGGGTTACAGACGCTTCAGGTTGCGTTTTTTCAGGTTACGGACACCAAAACCCAGAAGTACTGGAACGGGCTACTTCCGGGTTTCGGCGGTCGTGCATGCGCAGAAGCACTAAATCGTGCTTTGCGCATGTGCAGAAGTGCCGAAGCGCTACCCGCACGTGCGCTGCTGCAGGTTGTGAACACTGTGGGTTGCGAACGTGCATCCCACACGGATTGTGTTCGCAACCCGAGCGTCCACTGTATTTAGCTTAATTATTTTAACAAAATTGATGAACTGGATCCAGTGAGACCAGCTTTTCTAAGCCCGATAACCATTTGTGCCTCCAGTACCCCCCTGCTACACCTTTGCCTCTTTGCAACCCCCCCCCCCGATAATCACACTGCCTGATGGATTTAGAAGGCAATCTATTAGATTCTTATACACCCTCCGTATACACTGCAAAGAAATGCTTTTCAAGTTAGTGCAGGGAAACCCATGTTCATCATCACAGACATTTAATCCGAGCACAAGAGATGAGCTAGTGTAGGGTGTGAATAGAGATAATGAGGCACAGGAAACAAATCTCATGTCATGGAACTTTGTTGTTGTTGTTTTTTAAAAAAAAGCACATTTGTGCTTTATTTTCAGAAGCTGCAAACTCAGTGAATACATGAAACAGCTCAGTAAAACTAGGACCTTCTAAACCATGGCAGCCCAATTATGGAACATGTCTCCCCAGGTTTTAAAGCAGGGATGTGTTGTGGTCTTTTCAGCACAAACCTTTCTATTTTCCGAGGGCTTCTGATCAATCCTACGTTGTTGTAGTGGCAAATTCTAGTTCACAGCTAACCCGTATTCCTCCACAGCACTTTCAATGTCTCGGGGATTGTGAACTGGGAAGGACAGTGTGTGTTTGATGGTGTATATATATATAATGTCCGTACAGAGTGTGTGCTCGGAAGGGGCAGGCTGTCCAATTGGAGCTTTTTGTGTCTCTCCACAGGCAGGGCTGAGGAGAAGTTCTGTGCCAGCATTTAAAAGACGTGGGGGGTGGGGTGGGGTGGGGAGAGAAGTTGGCTTTCACTTCTCAGCAAAAAACCAAATCCCAAAATGAAGACAGTTGCTTGTGTCATGCGCGTCTTGTGGATTTGGGAGGGGGAGTGCCTGCCACAAGCAGATGCGTCCTTGATCTGCCAGACAGAGCCTCCAGATGGCCTTGTGGAGACATCGGTGCCCTGCTAGATCCTCTCTCAAGGAAAGCCTGGACATCACTGCGTTTCACAGCCTTGCATCCTGGAATTAACGGAGCGTGTTTCTCTCTCCTTCTCTTCCCCAGGTCTTGCTTGCCTCGGCCACAAGGAGGAGCCCGAATCCAAACATGGGACGGCTGGATTGATCTCATGTAGAGCCCGGGGCGAGAACTCTCTCATTTCCTCCTGTTATGTCCAAGATCTGCCTTCTGCCTGGCCATTGCTTTGAGTTCCAAAGGACGAGGGACCTAGGATGAGGAGGAGCACTGGATATACCTTGAACCTGCTTTTGTTATTGCCACTTTTCTTTGTGTGGACCGTAGTGGCGCTCGACCTTGGGCAGTCTCCGTGCACCACTCTGGTCCAGGGCAAGTTCTTTGGCTATTTCTCCTCGTTTGCCGTCTTCCCGTTGAACTCTTCCCGCTGCTCTTGGATTATCCAGAACCCTGACCCCAGGAGGTACACCTTGTACATGAAGGTCTTGAAGCCCACCGGTGGATGCGACCACCAGCAGATACGGACCTACCAGTTTGACTCCTTCTTGGAGTCCACGAGGACGTACTTGGGCATGGAGAGCTTTGACGATGTGCTGAACCTCTGCGACAGCTCCACCCGCTATGCCTTCCTCCAGTCCAGCAAGCAGTTCCTCCAGATGAAGCAGACCGCGTCCGCCTTAGAAAGCGGGCACGTCCGGTGGAAGCCGGCCAAGGTCCAGGAAAGGGATTTCTCTGTGGAATACCTGGTGGTCGGCAACAGAAGCCCCAGCAAGGCCGCCTGCCAGATGCTGTGCAAATGGTTGGATACTTGCTTGACCACCAGCAGCAGCTCCCACCCTTGTGGCATAATGCAGACCCCCTGCACTTGCTCCAGCGGAGAGGTACTAGACCAGCCCAGCGATATCCTGGGCTTCACCAAAAAGAGGGACGATTGTTTCAAAGATGGGATTTACTTGGAGAACTGTGTGAGCAGCCCAAAGGACAGCAGTGGGCTGGATTTCTTGGGTAAGTGATGTCGTCCGGATGCTCAGCGGTGCAGAAATTGATCAGAACCTATGTTTCAGTCACAGGGAAACATTTCCCCCCTTCCACCCATTCATTGATTGGCACAGTCAATGCCACAGCTTCCATTTGCTTTGATTTAAAGTGATCTTGGCTTGCCGTCGTTGAGACATCAAAAACTGGATTCCAGTTTGAAAGTAATTTTGCTGTCTGTCTTTGGGGGTTGGAGTTAGGCTATTAAGAATTATAAGGAAGTTAAGCAGCATGCCTTTTCCATGGTTGCTCCCCTGGCAATGTTGTTATATATCTTTAGTCGCCAAGCAAAAGCATTCCTCATTAACCAGGCCTTCAGCCTTTAAATATATGTGGCCTTTTAGAGTAGGAGGGATGCCTTAAACTATTTTTATTCATTTATTGGTTTTAATGTATGTATGCGGGTGTTTTGCTTGTTTTCGTGAGTCGCTTTGAGTTTCCTTGGCCTGAAAAAGCAAGTAACAAATTCAATTAATTAATAACTACTACTACTAAGAACAACCGTTGGTTCAGCTTTTGCTAACTCAGTCCTCCAGATGTGTCCTCCAGACATGCTGGCTGGGGCTGATGGAAGTTGAAGTCCCAAACATCTGGAAGGCACTTGGTTGGCGAAAGCTGTCTTAGCTGCTACAGAAAATCAGATCTCCGAAATGGGTTAACTCTTGCTTTGCAGACATGCCATTATAAATGGCTGCTATAAATTTGCCTATGGTTTCAGGGCTGACCATAGAGGCCAATTTGGCAACTGGATAGGGCAACACAATCCCACAGCCTACTCCAGCTGTGTTAATGTTTTGGAAAGAAAGACTGGAGTTGCGCAGAAGATGCACCGAATAAGCTTTGCAGCTTGCTTGGTGGGTGATCTAGATTTGCGTGTTTCAGCACTGAAGTCTTTACATTTTAAGCTATTGCTACTACTTTGGTGAGGGGGGAGATTTAAATTCCAAAACCAAAAATACAGAATTCATTTTATTTTTCCCACTGAGTTTAGCATGTATACCATCTTCCATGCAGGATTTCCACATTTTATGCATTCTTCTATATTAAGGTTACCAGACGCACCCGTTTCCTGGGGACAGTCCACGGGTTTACAGCTTTCTCAGCATTCACATGTACTTAGAGAACAATAAGTGTCCCCGGATTCATTGAAAAAAATCTGATAACCTTATTCTATATCTGGGGTCAGCAAACTTTTTCATCGGGGGCTGGTCCACTGTCCTGGTCTCATTGATATAGACCAGATCAGCCTCCTCCTCCATAACTGGATCATGGATGAGAGAGGTCTTACTCAGAGCCAACCTGGCATTCAGCAAAAGCAGGTGCAAACCCGAGGACTGGCTGACAGGAAAACTGAAATACCCCAGTTTGGAGGAGGAGTTGGCATGTGGCACAGTCACCCACTGCCTGTGTTGTGTGCCCCTTATCCGGCCTGCCCCACCTCTGCCACTGTACCTCCTCCTACCCTTAACCACTGTTCTAGCCCTAGCTGTAACCCAGCCCTAGCCCTAGCCCCGACCCCAACCCCAACCCCAACCCCAACCCCAACCCCAACCCCAGCCCCAGCCCCAGCCCCAACCCCAACCCTAACCCCAACCCTAACTGTAACCCTAGCCCTAGCCCTAGCCCTAGCCCCAACCCCAACCCCAACCCCAACCCCAACCCAGCCCCAGCCCCAGCCCCAGCCCCAGCCCCAACCCCAACTCTAGCCCTAGCCCTAGCCCTAGCCCTAACCCTGTTCTGCTCTCATCAGCTCCTCTCTTCTCAGACACATCTCCCATTGACAACAAAAAACCCTACACAAATTTAAAAAAACAGTTAAAATAATTAAAAACAGTTTTTAAAAACCCTCCCAAAATGAAGCCAAAGCAAAACTTTCTGCATTATCCTCCTTGTTGGACTGAATTTCCTTCCAACAGAGAACCCTACAACTCTCTCTCTCCCCCCGCCCTTCTCCTCCTAGCAAAGTCTTTTCCTGAGCATCCTAATCTCACTTTAGCTGCTGCTCCACGGTAGCATCTCTCTAACAGGATGTTCTGACTGCCTCTGTGCTGGCTCAGGTCTCTTCCAGAGCTTAAGGCAGGACTTGATGCCAGCTTTGGGGGTAAATGTTTTTGTGCCTGCAGTACACAAAAGCAGCAGGTGGTGTTTGTTTGAATGGATGAGAAGGCCCTTTAGGGAGGCTGCTGCTGGCTCCGGGAGCTGGTGGGGCCTGGTGTGCCTCTCTCAGTTAGCAGAGATGTTGACTTTTGGCTGTACATGCAGCTTATCTGAGAGATAAACAGTAGCCTGGAGAGCTGCTTGGCCGGCCATTATCTGTTGAGATGCTTTAAAAGGCTTTGTGGATTTTTGCAGTGACATCACAACAGCATGTTATTAACACAGAAATAGCAAGTTGATGGGATGTAAGTTTTAGCTGCTGGAAGCAGGAAGAGGAGCTGAAATTGCCTTGTCTGCGCCTAAGGCGGTTTCCTCCTTCTCAGTTGCCCCAGCACGTCCCCAGCCCTCCCCATTATCTTTTGGGTGGGCCCTAAGGACTTAAAAACAATTAAATCTGTTGTCTGAAAATGGCAGCTTTAATTTAGTACTGGCTAGAGCCCATTGGAACTGATAGGGTAGAGGGCAGGGAGCCCAACACTAGGTGGCGCAAGAGTCAATGAGAGGTGCAGCCAGAGCGAAGGGCAGGCAAAACTCTCTCTGTACTTAAGTACCACTAGCAGCCATGCAGGAAAACTGTATGGCAGTGGGGGGCATATGCCTATTGGGACTCGTAGGGCAGAAGGCAGGGAGGCCAAAAATTGGTGGAGAGCAATGACAGGGTGAGGTAGCAAAGTCTAGCTTCACCTTCACCCCCCTCCCTGCTGATTTCTACAAGTGCAACACAAAGAGCTCATCCAGACTCATCCAGACCTCCTTTTGTGGCACATTTCCAAGCACAGGTCCACTGTATCTCGGACGTTTTTCTTTTTCGTGGGCACTTTCCCCCAAAAAGCTCATCTTTACCACTAAATCAGAGAAAACACCAATCTGCAGGAAACTCAGATTACTGTTTGTTCCAATTCCGCATTAAAGAGTGAGTTTTCGCAGGGGGAAGCTCAGACACAGCACTTTAAAGCGGTATTTCCCAAACTTGGGTCTCCAGCTGTTTCGGGACTACAGTTCCCATCATTCCTGACCACTGGTCCTGCTAGCTAGGGATGATGGGAGTTGTAGTCCAAAAACAGCTGGAGACCCCAAGTTTGGGAAACCCAGACCTAGAAAGTGCTACACAAGAGCTGAGTATGGATGAGCAGAGAGTCGGGTGAGGTCAGGAACTCTGGCAGAAGAGCAGGACAGGGTGCAGGCAGGAACAGGCTACTAACAATGTTGCTCCTGCAACCTGGGATGGGGGCTGGCTGGCTTTTATCTGCCCCGAGGCATAGGGTGGCTCCGATCCTCTGGTGACTCGCCTCTCCTGGCCTGGAGGCGAGCACTCCTCCTGCAGGAACTTAGTTCCCTCCGCCTCTATGCCCTGATCCTCTGCAGCTCAGGAGAGGCTGGAGGGTTACCGGACCCAGAGGCAACCTCAGCTTCCCCTGACGGGGCTGAGAGTGGAGCACCTGCAGGCAATGGGTCCTCCATCACTTCAGGAGCCAGAGCAGACTCAGCTGGTGCCTGCACCTGAGGATCCAACACAGGTGAGGACCCTTCAGGCTCATGCCCCAGCCCCGGCTCAGCTGGTTCTGGAGGCGGGGACTCCTGTGCAGGCTGGGATCCCTCAGGTTCAGCCTCTGAGTCGAATCCCAGGCCATCAGAATCGCTGCTTGTTATGTGTCTCCTCCTGAACCTCCTGGATCAGGCCCAATGGCTCATCTAGTTCATCATCTACTTCTCAGTGGCCACCCAAATGCCTGTGAGAAACCCAAGCACAAGAGGAACACTCTCCCCTCTTGTGGTTTCCAGGAACTGGCATCGAAAGCTATTACACATACGTACATTTTTGGAAGTACGCACCTGGGTGATTCTTTTCTGCAGTTGCTGGCCCTCCTTGTTTACCTCATTTATTTGTTCCGTAAAATTTATGCACCTCTTGATCGTTGAAAACCTCCAAGCATTTTATGAAAAGGTAGAACACTAAAATCGAGGGGGCTGGGGGAGAATCACAGCCACCAGTGTGGTGTAGTGGTTAGGAGCGGTGGACTCGTAATCTGGGGAACCGGGTTCACATCCCCACTCCTCCACATGCAGCTGCTGGGTGACCTTGGGCCAGTCACACTTCTCTGAAGTCTCTCAGCCCCACTCACCTCACAGAGTGTTGTTGTGGGGGAGGAAGGGAAAGGAGAATGTTAGCCGCTTTGAGACTCCTTCGGGTAGTGATAAAGCGGGATAGCAATCCAAACTCCCTTCTTCCTACTTTAAAACGTACAAAAGTTACAATGCTAAACAGATTAAAGCAGAAAGTGTTTTTGTGAGTGTATCATAAGGCAAAGAATCCACAATATTTTTGAAGCTTTTCCAAAACTTTCCCGACACCGTGCTTCGCAAGACGAAAAAAATCGCAAGATGACAAAACTTGCGGAACAAATTAATTTCCTCTTAAGAGGCACCACTGTATATCATTCATTGGAATTACACAGTGGGTTGTGTAATACCTTAACGGTATTAAGGGGTGGTAGGGGGATCTGGAGGTGAAGATCAGACTTTGAAAACTGGCATCATTGGATCAAATTCATCAATTTTGGTGTATTAATTCAACTAAAAAGTTTTAACTGGGTTTTGAATATACGTGCAATTAATTGTTGCTCTTTCGAATTTTATTGTGTTATTATCATACTTTGTTGTGCAAGCTGCTGTTCTGAAGGATGCTTTTAAGTGGATGGGGCTGGGAGCACTGGGGATGAGTTTACAGAACCAAAGTGGCGGTAGCCCAAAAAGTTTGGGAACCGCTAAAATAGATCAAGCCGAGAAAGAATGTCAAACGACACAGCTCTGGA